ATGTCATATTACCATGTGCTCACCTGTACTGTGAACAGTGTATTGACAGGTGGTAAGTATGTCATATTACCATGTGCTCACCTGTACTGTGAACAGTGTATTGACAGGTGGTAAGTATGTTATATTACTATGTGTTCTCACGTAAGTTGTTACATTTTCCCCAGCTCTATATATATGTGATTATGGTAGAGAAATGAAAACAGTGCAGTTTTGCTACAAGAAGGGATTGGCATTTGATTTTTTTCATCAATAAAATTGTCTTGGCATCATACACAGGTTTACATTGCACTTTTTATTTTCTCACAGCTTGAGCCAAGGGAATGATTTACTGTTATCCTTGAAACCTATGACCTTTTTGTTCCTTTAACAGCTTGAAACATGCCTCATGGCATAAATACAGGCTATATAGAAAAAATACAAATGTTTGAGATAACCAGAGTTACAGAAAGATGTGACATCATTAGAATTAATCTTACAGTCCTTTCAAGCCTGTCTGCCCTTCATTTGTTATCAGTTTATAATGTTTGTGGATCTTGCAGACACATGACATTATGATGTGAATCTTAACAGTGTATAAGCTAAGAATGACACCTACATACCAACAAAAAAATAAAGTAAAAAAACATGCACCTTAATGGTTTGATTTTTATGTGGCACACCTTAACTTAAATAGGCTTTTTGAGATTCATGAGATAATCAAGATCTCTTCATTTGTTATCAGTTCATAACTTCACAATGTTCGTGGATCTTGCAGACACTTGAGATTATGATGTGAATCTTAACAGTGTATATACATAAGCTAAGAAAAAAAAAAGAATTATAATGTACAACTTGCACCTTTGTGGTTTGATTTTTATGTTGCACACCATAACTTTAATAGGCTTCTTGAGATTCATGAGATAATAAATTGTTCTGCTATTCTATAGGAGTGTGTCAAGCCATACGTGTCCCGTGTGCAGAGCCACAGTAAGCAGTACAGATGAGACCTGGGTGCTAACAGAGAAACCAGACTCCTCCCAGATGGCCTCAGAGATGAAGGGCTATGTGTTGGGTTTGGCAGACCGTGTAGGGAAACCACAAACAGAAGATGATGAGGATGATGAAGAGGAAGAAGATTGGTAGTTAGATGGTCTTTGCACTGAAGGAATGGAGCTGTTTTAAGGCTCCTGAATAATGACTTGAATTTTCCATTTTTTTTCCTTTTATCTTACTAAAATGTCACCTTGAGTTGAACTAATATTTTTTGCTAAATATGAGATCAGTGCCATATTCCCTTATTAGCAGAGGATCTGGGAATTACACCATTTCTCCCAAATGGATGTCTGATTCACAGATTTTTTAAATCAAAAATCCAATTTTTATTGGCATTTTTACAACTTATCCCCCCCCCTCCCCACCATCATAATGCCACAGAACATTTATTCCCACTATTTTTACAACCCAAAATCATGTTCAAACAAACCTCTTTTTTTTTGGACGGATGGGCTGCCCCCCAGGTCTTCTGGCAGTAGGGCAACAAGGGTGGAGAATAAAAGGCAGGACTTGATGTACCCATCAGAATTATTTGCCTGGCATTAGTGATTTCTGTGGTCATGGAACTGAAATTGTACTTGCCCACAAGAGAAAGTGACTTGCTAATGGATCATTTGTAGAGTGCCTGAGTGAACAGGGGCTCTGTGTTTATAACTACAACATTTTATTATTATATGTTTATGTGCTTAGGTGCTTAATTGAAGTATTACAGGTAATACCTACATTTGAATGCTTTCAAAAATATGGTTATAATCAGTGAACAGATCTTAAAATTGTATATTTTATGTTCTAGCAAAATGCAAGTTAATTATTCACCTCACTGATTTACGTAAAGTGAAAACACATTATGCATAATATAAGTTTATCCTGTATGATTACCGTGGTGGAACAGGAGTGGGGTGTATTTGTTGTTTTGTAAGTATCACCAACCTTTGGCCTCCAAAAAGAAAATAGGTGACAGTATAACATATCAAACAAAGCAAAAGCCAACAAATCTCAGTCCCTGTGCACTACAAATTATGATGAAAAAAACTTGTCCACTGTTTTATATTTGCCTCATTTTGCCTACCATTTATTTTTCACCATGGTGAAATAAAGAGACTCAGTCTGATGCTTCAGTTGAAGCCTACAATGACTTATTTAAAGTGTGCTATCAAAATGTCGGCTCTATATATCTTAATGCACACTATAACTTACTTGAAGTATACTTTTAGAATATAAGTTGTACATATCTTTACAGCACATATCCAGGTCTTCAGTAAAAGGTATCCTGTCTTGGTTTTTATTGTCGAATTGAATTTTCCTTAAAAACAAAAAAAGCAATTTTCCATCCCTGCACTTGGATTTATAGTATTTTACCATTTCTAATTAAGTTACATAGTTCTAAATGATTGACAGACATTTAGACCACCTTGTCTTCCTGTACATATCAGAAATAAATATCCCCATCAGGTACTTGTATTTAAGGGGGTTTATCACTTTTAAGGATCTGACATTGGGAATGATTTGGGAAGTGATCTAATAAAGATAGCATACCTTTTAACTTCTTTACCTGGCATTTAAATCAATATTTAGATTTTCAATGTCTTGTTTGTGTTAATGGTCAATCAAATGTGAAACTGTGCAATAAGTTTTGTACTTAGTTATTGTATTTGCTTTCTATTTGACATTCAAGAAATGTTTATTGTTTCATAAGTAAATTTATTAATGAAATTTGATACAGTTAAGTTACCTGGTGCAGAGCTTCACCATAAATATGTCATGATGAATGACAATATTAATTACAACATTAAAGGCAGTGATTAATTGTTCAAAGTAGATTGTGTTGTCCCATAAGTGTTCTTTGTAAACTTTCTGTAAGTCATTTCATGTTAAGTTTATTTACTGGAGGCCTCAAGGCAGGACTGGATTCATGCAGACTACTGTAAGTACATGTTAAAGCCACTATGACTCAGGGGGGCACCAAACTTCCAGATTTAAAAATAAACACATGAAAGGTGGAAAATTCACCTAAAATTGAGAAAAGTGATATTTGGATTGCAGGGATAAAAGAACAATTAAGTACAAATATATGATAAGTACATAGCAATGGGATGAGATATTTGGATGGCAGAGAGGACAGAACAAATATATAAGAGCAATGAGATTTTTTAATATGTAAATCATGCAGCACAATATACCTGTCCCAGTATGAGAGAGCACCATTGAGTTGGGAGAGCTTGGGACACTGAATTCAACCCTGCATGTATGAATAATTCTGTATATACATTTGCTAAACAATCATAAATCTGGGCTTCACTGAATTAATGGCATTATAATGGTTCCAAAAGTAAATTTTAAAGCTGTGGGAAAACTGTGATATTTTTATTTATCAATAAGCATATATCGAACAATTATGAATGGACTTTCAACACAGATTATTGAGAGAGATTTGATTTCATAATTTTATTTTTTTATAATTTAGATTTCTTGGGCGTACAATTATAATTCATTCATGTTAATATATATGCATGTATTTTTCATTTTTGTGAAATATACCTCACTTAAAATGATATGCCTCTTTTCCATAATTTTAAGTTAATGGTTCATAGAGTGTAATAATTCCAAAAATTCTGATGCACTTTTCAAATAGTTGACACTAATGTTTCCAAGCAAGACTGAATAGTCGGGTCTCTAACACTGCTATTCATGTTTTCCCTTCCATTGTACTAGTTCAATATACATACATGTATATAATGTAAAATATAGGCAAAGAAAATGTAATTAAAATTAATAGGAGTACAGGAAGAGCATTATTTGGCCTGTTTCCAAGCATATGACATATTGTCATTATTTATACGATTGCTCCTACTCAAAAATTGTAATATTTACCGAAAATAAAATGTCAAAGAATGCAAGTAACTGAATTTGGCTTATGCAGGAAAATAAAATGAAGGGGACATTGACATAATTAGTTAAAAAAATATATTCTTTTTTAATTGTTGAAAATCTTGTGCCCTGTGTTTGCTTAAGTGATTGATAAACCACACTGCAACATAACTTTACTTGGACCAAAATTTCTGGTAAAAATATATCCTCGTTTTTTGGCATTGACTACCTCAGTGATCCAAACTTTAAAATATGTATACTAAAATACTCGCGGTCTTTCCCAACCCGCTCACATCTTTTTAAGCCAAAGGCTAATACTAATTATTTGGTTAGTTAAATTTTACAAAACACAATTTTGTCATGCACAACGTTCAAGACCTCTGTTGTACTAGAGGCATCAGGTGCTCGAAAATGGGACATTTATCGGCCATTTTAGCTATCATGTGACCAAGCTAAACGAGCCAATTAAAGACCAGATTTAGGTCATGTGACAGCAACGGATAGTTTATTCTGTACTTCAATCTAAAAACTACGACCCAGGATTTCCTAGTTATTACATGTCAGAAGAAAAGGGATAGGAAAAAATTAAAAAAGGTAAATGCACACTTCATTTTCAAGAATATCCCTTGTGAGTTGGGTTGTCCTATGTAGAAATCGCTTCTTGAACTTGAGTTCATGAAGCTCACAACGTAGACAAGTCTTGAAAGTTGAAACATTACTTGTTATTGTAATATAATTTATATGTGTACTTGCACAGTATGCTGTTCTTGTGCTTCCGTTGGTGACTATGTTCTGCTTAGTGAAACTTAATATTCAGTATCACGTTTGAGTACTAAAATTTGTATGCAAATTGCGAAATAACGAGAAGAGAGGCTTGTAGCAGCACCATGTCTTCTGAGGCCAGAAGCTGTGCCGGCTGTCTTCTATGATCTGATGGTTCTCATTTCATTTATATTGCTCACACTGTTACTCTGTACATATTATTTCTAAAAACTTCTATTCCATAGCTGATCATTTGAACTGATTCTTAATGAAGAATTTCTCATCTTTTAATATATACATGTTCATCAGTGTTTATGGTACATGTACTTATCACTGAAGTTGTACAGCAGCTCATAGATTTTAACAGATTAGACTTTCTTTTTATGGTGGTTGGAAGATTTATATCATGACGAAGAAGGAACATTAAAAATAATGAATAAGTGACTATTATCTATTTATTATCATATTGTTATATATTTTGTTGTGAAATTCTAAAGAAAAGAATCTAAACCAGACATTTCTATCATGATTATGCATCCAAATAAAATTTAAACAAGTAGATCTAAACATGAAATAAAAATACAGAACCATGTTGATATCATGTTGATATCATATGAGACATTAACAACAGATATCTCAGCAGGACATAAGTCATAAAACAATCTACATAGATAAAAGAGGTCTTATCTCACCGATCATTACAGCTGTGAAATGGGGACCTTTTACTTATAATCCAAATGCTCAGAGTAAAAAACACATTGCAGCAAGATTGTTACATAATTTCTTTAAATATTTACTGAGCATTTTTTTTCCTATCAGAGTTAAATTTTGGATAATTAACTACAACCCTGTGTCTTTCTATGCTTTAAACATTACCACAGGAAGACGTCCTTACGGTACTGTGTACAGTATATACTGGAGAGACTGTTGTTATATGATCTTTTTCATGTGTGACTTCTACTATTTTAGATGTGATTGTCTCCACACAATGGAGTGTCGGTGCGGAGGGCTGCTTTTTACCTCCAAGTTTGACTCTGGGAATCTCGCTAGGGTAGAGAGGGTCACACGAGATGACGAAGGCGATTCAGGTAAGCAGTGACAAGAAGCAAGGACAAGCCTCAGTTTGTGAGATTATCTGTTGTCTAAGCTTGTTATTCCCTACCCTTACAATTGTCATCTTTGTATGCATTTTCAAACACAGGCAGGCATGCACACATGCTCCAATACAAGTTTGTCTATCAGGATAATATGAACAGGTGCTACTTGTCATTGTACATTACCAAGTTCACCCAACTCCATGGCTTTGTATTTATGTAATTGGTTCTAAAGATTCTTTACTATTTAATTCTATGTGGGCATAGTTATATTGTATACAGTAGGGTATCTTTTGTAAACACCTGGTATCTTTTGTAAACACCTGTTTTGTTTTTTTCAGCATTTCAAGTATAAACTTAGAACAGTAAATACTACCTAGGATCTTTCAAGTCAGTAAGATTAATGTGATCTTTTCTTTGTCCAGGTGGGTCTTACACTGAGCCTAGACCTGACTATGAATTCAATGTGTGGACTAAACCTGACTGTGCAGGGACTCCTTTTGAGAATGGAAACAGGTAAATAACAGAGAAGGAGAGACTCTTCATACAACACACTCAGATAATACTTAGTCTAGTACTAGTATGTTGTATATGTTTACTAAAACCACATAGCATGTTTTTATTCTTCATTTGATATAATTAAAATTTTAAGAAGTTGGAAGTACCATAAAACACTTTTGAAGTAAATGGTTCTCAAGTGGTTTGAAGCCATATTACTGTAAATTAGATAACTCCAGACATATTGCAGTATTGTCACACATTGAGCAATATTTGAATTCAATAGGATTTCCATCACGTATGATTTCTATTAATCTCCCATTTTATCCTCATCAATCAGAAGCTTGCTGTGGTTCTATTGATCAGATATGAAGGTCAATAGATTCTTTTAGTCTAACAATACTTTGAGCATGACAGAGCTGCTTTTAATAAAGGCTTTGATGTTTTATTGATTAAAGTGGTCATTGATAATCAGCATGAAGGTAAAAGGGATTCAGTGAAACTAGAATTCATGGCTTTCCAGAATATTTATGCATATTGGAAATGCTGCAAGACGAGTAGATAGATTGATCTTTGGATCATACCTTTATATAAATTTCCAAAATATAATCTAGCAATTAACTAAAACTGTATTCTGATGTAAGCAAGACCAGTGGTTTGTGTATAATGGGTGACAGGAGCAATATTGCATTGTTGAAAATATCAGTTGATTTATGGAGTATTTATTTATTTCTATTTGCATCATATTTCTATTTGAAACACTCAAACAGTTATTCTAAAGAGTGTGAAAACATATTCTTTAAAACTTGAAAAAAATGCAAATATGGTATTAATTACTCATTTGGGTAAATTACGTGTTGCTCCATTCCAGAACTTGGTTCCACTTTGGTGTTCGGGGCGGGTCCTCAGGTCGCCTCATCAAGATTAACATCATGAACCTGAACAAGCAAGGCAAGCTGTACAGCCAGGGCCATGCCCCTCTGGTGAAGACTGTCCCTGGTAAACCAAAGTGGGAGAGGATTAGAGACAGACCCACATGGGAGGTGTGTGTATGGTGTCTGAATATGTTCTGAGTCTTCTGTTCTGAGTCTTCTGTTCTGAGTCTTCTCTAAATTAGTGGAATTGTGAACCATGTACATGTAAAGAAAATTGTTGACAAGCCTTCCACAGAGAAGTAATTTAAAGTGATAATAACTCTTCGTTTCGGCCAAAAAATGAATTTTCCTGGAGTAAACAACAATTTTCCCATACTTACCAATGGTTAATGAATCCATTTTTACATTCAAAGTTAGTCCCTGGTTTTTTTCTAAAAAGTTTGGTTTTTTGTTAAAATCTCTTAAGAGATTTTAACAGAGTATAGCCATCAATGGAGGTCACGTGGTCTAAAGACAAGCTCAGATATCAGAATAATAGCTATAACAGCCGTTTTTGTGGGAAAACAGAATATATTATATTTTTATGAGTCACTCACAATGTTTTTATTGTGAAATACAGATTTCATATGAAGAGTTATTATCCCTTTAAGCTTACTGGATTAATGTCATTCTGTGCCCAGGACCTGACCTAAGGGCCATTCCCAGACCCTGTCGTACTAACTGTGGATCAATCTATCTCCAAGAGGATTCTCACTAAATTGCAATCAATTTAGGCATCTTAGATGTCTGTCACACCTATTGAAGCTGCTAGAGGGTAATTAACCCCTCAGAAATGGATCGATCCTGTTAGATCGATCTAGAGATGGGGACCCACTCCTAGATTTTATTTTCAGATTGCAACTGATGCGAGTAAATTGCATATTAAAAGTTGCACACGTGTTTCCTGTAGCTAAAGCAATTGACTTAGACTTTCATTTTTATTATATTTGTTGCTTTCTTATTGTGTAAGTACATGTGAGATTCCTTTCACTAAAAGTAAATCTGTTGTAATCTGCAGTGTAATCTTAGTCCCTTGGAACCCCATTAGTTTAGATGAAGTTTACATCACATGGATTAATAAAAGGATTATACCTAGTTGCTGGAGTACAAATCAATAAGTTTCTGTTGTCTACATGTGGCAGTGATCATATATATATATATAAACTGCTCTTATTTAAAAGCATCATATTGTGTGCAAGGTTTCCCTTGTGTGTTATTTTTGTTCTCATCACTTAGCTCCCCATTTTTAATTCAATAACTTTTTTATAAAATCAATGAGAATTGTAATGAAAATGAGGCGTTTATTTCACGCTGTTTAGCCAAAACAAATAAACTTATTGTTCTTGATAAAATTTTCAGCTTAGAATGGCGTTAATAAGAACTCTTTGGATGTGCAATGTAACATGTTACTAATATTTATCCTATCTTTCCAGAATGCAGACAAAGACTTCATCTTGAGCTTTACCCACCGGTTCTTGGAGTATCGAGGTGCGACCACCTACTTCACGTTCTGCTACCCCTGGTCATATCAGGAGAGCCAAGAGCAGCTGGAAGCCCTGGATAAAAAGTTTGAACACTGCAAGAATCTCAACCAACAAAGGTGAAATTTTTATGAAATTGGTATATTTCCTTTACAGACCATTTAGTGCACCCAAAAGATTACCTTTCAATAAGAATAATTCTTCCCAGATAGTAAGAATGTTCATATATATATATACCTCTAGAAAAGTCGAATATAGCCATTTGCTACATGCCTGCATAACATTAAATACAGTTTAGTGATCAAAGTGTATGTACAGTAAGATTTTGACTGTTTTCATGGTTTATGTTTAATGTTATATGTGTAATCCTGTGTTTCAGCCCAGAGTGTAGTATCTATTACCACAGAGAGTTGCTGTGTTTCTCTCTGGACAACTGGAGAGTGGATCTGATCACTGTCACCTCCTGTCACGGGATGGAGAAGGAATTGGAGCCCAGGTGGGACGGAAAACTGTTCCCTGATCCTGACGCTCCAAGGTGCAAGAAGTTCAAAAACAAAAGGGTATGAAAATTGGTATTTTGCTCCTTAAAAAAAAAAAACGGTAGTTCAAATTGCAAGATAGTCCATATATTTTGTATCAGTATTTGTCTGTGTGAATTGTAATACAGTAGACAGTGGTCATGACTCTGTTGTAAAGACACAAACTCCTTTAGGTCAAGTCTTTGACATTATATTTCTTCCTTCTCACCAAAGAACTTTTAAACATGTCTGAAGTTTTTGATCATCTATATTTTGTTTTTGTTCATGTTTGAAGTACGTGTTTGTATGAGTATGTACTATTGAATTTATAACTGTGAAGTTAACACCTTTACTTTGTAACCTAGGTGTATGTACTAAGTATGTGTTTGTATGAGTATGTACTATTGAATTTATAACTGTGAAGTTAACACCTTTACTTTGTAACCTAGGTGTATGTACTAAGCAGTAGAGTACATCCAGGTGAGACGCCTGCCAGTCACGTTTTTAATGGCTTTCTGAACTTCATCTTACGAGAAGATGACCCTCGTGCTCAACAGTTACGCAAGCAGTATGTGTTCAAGATGATCCCAATGTTGAACCCAGACGGTGTTGTCAAGGGACATTATAGAACGGACATAAACGGGATAAACCTAAACCGCCTGTACCTCGACCCCGACTTTAATCTCCACCCCACCATATATGCTGCTAAAAGTGTCCTTGTGTATTATCATATAAACTACAGAGTGAAGAAGGAAGGGGAGGAGAAAGAAATCAAAATCAACTGGCCGGAGTGGAGAGCTGAGGACCACCCTCCTATCACGTGTTCTGATGGTGCTAAAACCACTGAATCTCAAGACTGCTCCGGTTCTCCACTGATTGCTGATCTGGCTGACAGCTTCAACAGTTCCTCTGGTGTCTCTAAGAACATGCTACTGTACCAGAGTCAGGATGATTACAAGAATGCTGTCAACTCTATGTCATATAGTCCACAGGTAGATCACACTGTGACCAGTATCAAACATGCTGCCGAGAACGAGACAGGGGCGGAACAGAACAGTGGGTCAATGAGCGCCCCTTATGATATCTCATCTCTTCAGCTCAATAAACAATTTGGCAACATGGGCTTGCTTCATAACAAAAGAACTCCTTCTCGTGATGAGACTGACCCGCTGCTGTCCAGCTCAAGTTCTATCCAGATGGCTGGCAGTAGCTCTGCTGCTGATCTTGCCCATAATAACATTCCCTCAGCAGATGAGAGTATAAGTCATGCTGTTAACTTCTACATCCGTGGAGACTCCCCAGTGGGCAGTGACACTGAGCACCTGGGTAATGAGGGCTCTGAGGGAGAGGAGGAAGGGGGCGGCCCTGTCCCAGGACAAACCCCCTGCTCTCCACATCTCAGTGACTACAGACTACAGGAGATCCACCCCTCAGAGAGTGGGATTGCCATCTATATGGACCTTCATGGTCATGCTTCAAAACGTGGCTGCTTCATTTACGGCAATTATTTCCCTGAGGAGGACAAACAGGTATTCTGACTGAGAAAACGGATGTCACTTCTAGAAATGTCTGTGAAAATGTATTCTAAGTTTAGACTTTGGTGCAAATAAACAAAGAAACTTAGGTGGTATAGCATGGGTAAATAAGTTGGTAATAATGGCTGTAATAGCTCAGAAAATAGGTCATTTCATCTAAGTCAACGCTCAAGTTGCTAAATGGTAGACATTTGCCATCAGCCAGTAATGAAGATAAGCACAAGCGTTTCAATTCAATGACATCATTTTCAAAACCTGAATTTGAGTTATGAATTTTTAACTTACAGGTGGAAAACTTCCTCTACCCCAAACTGATCTCCATCAACACGGCACACTTTGACTTCACTGGCTGTAACTTCAGCGAGAGGAACATGTACGCCAAGGACAAGAGAGATGGCTTCTCCAAGGAGGGCAGTGGAAGGGTAGCCATGTATAAAGCACTGGGAATTATTCACAGGTACGTTAGTGACATACGTCTTTTATCACAGTAGATAAAATAGTCCCCTCCAGGCTTCTGGCAGGTGTACCCAGTGGGATTTTACTAAACATTTTTGATAAATCTTTATATTGTGAGTAGTAACATGTATACATACTGATTGATTAAAATTGTGAGGAAAGTTAAATTTGGTATTGATGCAGAAAAATGCTAGAGATGTTAAGAGAACAGAATATCTGTGTCACTCACTGTTAACTATTTATTGTGACGGTATTCCTGTACTTCAGTTATACTCTGGAGTGTAACTACAACACTGGGAGGCTGGTGAATTCCGTACCTACGGCCTGTGGAGATGACGGCAAAGCCACGCCACCCCCCGTGGCAGGGTTTCCACCTAAGTACACTATTGCCCATTATGAGGAGGTAAGGATTTTTTTTACCTTAGAGTATTATTCATGATGAAAATGTTTTTCTTCTGAAAGGAAGTAGTTGGTTAAAAATTACTTAATAATATGGAATGTGATGGAATGGTTAGTTTTTAAGTCATCACCAAGTATACTTTTTTAGCTATCAGGTGGAAGAAAAAAAGACACTTTATACTCTGTTTTATTTATATACTTTTTTATACTCTGTCATTTAATACTCAACCTGGGAATATAATAAAAAATGTTCAAAAATCTCTTTGAAAATTAAACAGTGCATTGACAAACATAGAGAAATTACTTGCCATTTCCCAGGTTGGCCGAGCCTCTGCCATTGCAGCGTTGGACATGACAGACACCAACCCCTGGACGCGGATCACCAACTCTGAACATAACAGTCTTGCTGGGGTCCGCGACTGGGTGAGGAGGTACGTAAGGAGTATGAGAGGTGCTCCACGACTACCCAGGAACATGGCCAGAGCTGCCGCTAAAACCTCAAGGTGAGCTCAGTGATGATTTTAGTTTATAGGTGAAAAATTTATTCTCTTTTCCTGTCTGATTTTGCTGTATTTTAACACTAATACCTGAAGTTAGAGAAGTATTTTATTTCCATTTGTTTGTCATACTTTACTTGTCACACTTATATGATATTAAATTATAGTGTTGCACAAATTTAGAGATAGATTCTGATGTGGATTATGAACTTTGTGTACATTGGAATATAGTAAATGCATAACGGAAATGTTTCTTACATAATGATATTAACCTCAAATATCATACCTAACTGTTTTTATGTTTTTTTTTTTTTTTTTTTTTTTTCATTTTCCAGCATTGTAGCCTCACATGCCACCCCTCATACCAACATCAGCAAGACCTCCTCATTCTCCCGTATCAGTTCTGCCACTGGTGGGACAGGGACCACCAATACCACTACCACCAGGGGGAGCTTTACCAACAGGAGACCACTCCTCACCTCACAGAACAGCAAGAAGGAGCTGGGCCCAGTCAAAGCTGGTGAGAAATGAGGGTGGTTAAAATTTCAGAATGAAATGAATCTTAAGAAGATTAATATAGAAAAATTATAATTCATTTGCTGTCACATTGTAAGGACATAAAGATGAAAGTGACCTAGAAAAATATCTCTACCAAATAAAAAGGCCTGATACCTAGATATTAGGATAGTGGCTTTAATCTAAGAGTAGTCATTGATTTGAAAGGAATCACAAAACATGCACAGTGGCACAATATTCTTGATTAAAATTATTCCAGGTAAAGCAGCCAGCACAGACAATAACAGAAGAATGGTGAAGAACTCCCCTGTCGTATCCGTCCCCGTGTCATCAACTGCCAGCGTCACACCCACGACCACCACGGTTACCATGACAACCAGTGCTACCATGGCCTACACCACCGTCACCACGGACATGAAGCTGAATCTCCCCAAGCACCCCAGCCTGGCCAATGGCCCCAACACGGAGCTGTTTCAGAAGTACCAGCTGGCTCACCAGCTCTCCTCTACAGGGGGCGGCCTGGCTGGTATGGCAGAGGTGCCTACAGCTGGAGGCTTTCTGAAGAACAGCTCCAGCAGAGTCAGTCCCCCAGGTCACTCCAGCGGTCAGCCAGTCAGTAAATCTAGTGTGGGACAGGAGTTGAAGAGAAAGTCGCAGCCACATGTGGACATGCTGAAGCTGGGATACCACTCACAGAGTGACTCTGTCATCCATAGACTTCAGTTCTCACATTCCAATGAAAATGTCCAGCACAATCCTACTGGCCCTCCTGGTCATCACCCGGGTCAAGGTGTCCAGCAACCGGCCGTCCGCAGCGTCCAATCAGGGCCACAAGCAGTGAGTGGCATCACTGATTTTGTGACCCAGGCTCGCCAGCGCCGCCATTTCACCAGTGATCTGTCCCTGCAGAGGGCACAGCTGATACAGCAGGTGCAGCAGGCACACCTTGAGGAGGAGCATGCTGGGATATCTCCACCGTTCATGATGAGGCCGAACTCCAATGATGGCTCTATTCAGAGCATGGAGGAAGAGAAAGTACAGCAGCTACAGAAGGTAAAGTATTTATAAGTCATTCTGACTGCTGGCATTAATTCTCTCAAACAATAAGATTTTTTTAAATTCACCTTCCTCTTTTAAAATGTTAAAAGGTACTTGTTACCGGATGGAGGAAATTTTTTTAAAGTATTCTTCTTTCTGTTGTTCTGTTTTTTTTTTAATTTTATTGTAACTGTTAATATGTTACTGAATGGTTTATCCACTTAGGTACTAAATGCTATGTTAACCTTTCTTTTTTAGCTGAATGATAATTTCCCTCTGAGACATAAGCCTCCAAGTCATCTGAGTGGTGGAAAAGGCTGGGATCTACCTAAGTAAGTTATCTTTTAATATGAATCATCAGGGTTAGGTGCCAGGCTACCAGCACTATGTGTTTCACTGAATTCATGAGAAAAAACTCTTCAGATTTTGACATTTTAAGCAATACAGTTTCATTATGAGATCTCTACAGAGACAGCATTTTTGCCAAATTAATTAGGGATGTCTATAATGATTCTCTTTGGAATGTGTTTAAACAGTGAGATTGACCTCCTACTTGCAGTCCAATTAACAATACCTGATATCCGTTCACTCTTACAGCTCTGATCCACCCAAAAGACGTGGAAAGAAAATTCTGAACCCCAAGCGGCGCAGCGCGTCCCACAGTCCCAAGAATGGCGGTGGCACAGGTGCCTACCCACAACGCAAGACCAGCACCAGTGGCACTGACAGCGAGGCTGAGAGGAGGAGAGTGATGAAGAGAAAGCCTCCCACTGCTAAGGGAATGAGGAAGGTGTTAAGTAGTTCTGAGGTGATACAGAACACCACTGCTGCTGTAGAGGTGACCTCTCAGACTGGTGCTGAGTCCTTGGTGTCTTTGACGGGTAGGTTAGGGTGTTTTGGTTTAGATGCTTGGCTTGGTAGATTGATGGTTTGTTTCTTAATCTGGGTGCTACTAAAATTGTTTTAACTGCAGACTGTCTTCAAAACTACTAGATGCTCTTTATGTGGATTCTTTTCCAAATTTGTAATGTTTTAGTTATTATGCATTTGGGCCTTGCTTTATTTATTGATTTAGTACTTATTTTTCTTCAATTTTATAAATTATTTATTTATTTATTTTTGCTAATTTTGTCACTTGTGGAATGCATGGCTTATAGAAGAGGAGGGTCCATAGAAGCTGACATCAGATTGATGGCTTGAATGAATGTGTGGGTCCATAATAAAGAGTAGTTTGTGTTTAGCTGTCACTTTGTGTTCCAGGAGAACCTCCTGTTATCACTGCTGAAGGAAATGCCGTGCTACTCTCTCCAAGGTGACTAGAATTCAAACTTGAAACAGAATTTTTTTCTGATTTGAATTGAAAATTGGATTTTTTTTTTTTTTTTTTTTTTTTTGCATCAGCTTTTTCCTAAAAC